AGAGAGAGAGAGAGAGAGAGAGAGAGAGAGAGAGAGAGAGAGAGAGAGAGAGAGAGAGAGAGAGAGAGCTCTGGGATCTGAGCCTGGTGACATTCGGGCTATTGCCCTGTTCTGGTTTTTGGGCAGAGACCCCCCTTTGGACAATATGCTGAGATTGGGACTTCAGGGAAACTTCGGGATTGATGACATTGGCGATTTGGACTTCTCACCCCACTCTTCCCCTTTGTCTCCATCTCCCTCCTACTTCGTCTGTGGATGATCTGGGAACAGCGCCCCTTCTGTGTATGATGTGCTGCCCCCCATCTCGCCGAGTGGCGAATGAACGAGAGAGCATCGTCCATTCTGATCTTGCTGTGTCAGAGTGTATGTTTCAGTCTTCCGCTGCGTTTTATTGTCTATTGCTTTGGGCCGGTTCATTGGATCTGCGCTATACTTTGCCATGTGTGAATGAGAATGCGACAGCGAACCAAGCCAGAGAGAAGAGCGAGCGTGAGAGAGACGCCATTGCGAGGCTACGCCCGCTCAGCCCCCTTGGGGCCCTTTTTGCAGTATGTCGGCCGTCCTAAGTGAAGGCAGGCGCGACAGGCCCTCAGGGCCTCAATTTTCAGGGTACCCCGCAACTGGTGAAATTCAGACAGTTGCGCTGCGCCAGTTGGTTGAAGGCGCCCAGGCCCAGGCCATATTTTGCAAATGTATCTGGATGGGGACCTGGGCCAGACTCGTGGAAAAGGCCGTGAGCAGGCCAAGGGCAGTTGGGCACATGTAACCATCAGGCCCTGGGCCTGCGTGTGAGGTCTGGGCCTGTGCCTACCGGGGCCTACCGGAATCTTCCTGGACTGGACGCAGGCAGGCCATTTCCATATAGGGAAGGGCCTGCCTCCTCATTCGGCATTCGGGTGCTGGCTGCATGCTGCGCGAGCGCTGCTGCGCTATTTGCTGGCTGGCTGGCACTCACGCTCTCACGTGCGGGCAAGAAGTAGCGGGCAGCCATAGCCGAGCTGCTCCGCTGTGAGCTGGGTGTGACACAGGGTGGTCCTCGGGTGCAAGTGGCATCTGTGCGGTGTGGATCGGGGTTGTTAGTGTTGCGAGAGACATACCTGGTGCTGGAAGTGTGCGGCATTGTACGCTGTATGCTCGTACTTCGGGGAGCTGTTGTTGTCAACATCGGCATTGTAGTATTAGGCTAGATAGGATCTGCCACAAGTAGTCTGGGCGCCGAGCGCCAATAGGATATCAACWCTTGTTCTTCGTTGATGATGATGAGAGACTATTTCAGCATTGTCAATTACGAACTATTGCTGTGTTCTGATTTGGTGAATCTCGTGATGCATGACTGCCGTTGGTTCGAGGTCAAGACTATCTGGACACATATGTATGATGCTGTTTGATTGCTGGAGTTTGCTAATGCTCATCTTCCTTGCACCATAGCCGTCAGCTGGTTGAGATCAGTCCTATGCGTGTGTGTGTGCAGCAGAGCCGCTGGAGACATAAACATTTCTTTGTATAACAACGATAATTTTGGAGACGACTTCCTCGTGTGTTGACTGTATCTCAGCTTTGGCTTTTCATATCTGAACGATCGTGTAAATGTTCATTGACGTATGTGAGGTGGAACCTGATGTGAACTTGGTTCATTTCACACTGTTTTGTCCCAATTTAGGCGAGCGCCTGAGCCAAATGAGAAGGTGTCTTGACATTCTGTCATTTGCCCTGCCAGGATCTGGATATAGGCAGCAGAGTCATCTGCAAAAGCAGACGATCGAAGTTCTCATTGAATGGTTGCGTGCATTTCTTCCCCTTAAATATAATTATTACTCAGCTGACTCCCGTGCAGCACAATTCACCCCCAGACACTCTTTCAACACTCAATGCTCTCTGCTGAGTCCTGTGCAGCGCAGCTCAACCCATGAGCGCCAGAGACACTTTCAACACCCAGCGCTGGACAGGGTCTCACAGACAGTTTTTCCCATATGATTGCGAATGGGATAGCAAAATTGGAAAATCCGAGTTACACATTGTTCTGCCATCAGATTACAGCCTCTGTTTGGCTTTGAAAAAATAAAACAAAACAAAATTGTCAAAAAAAAAAAAAAACTATGCACTGTTGCTCTACAACTGATGCCACGAATGACTTCCGTAAAGTTGTGTTTGGAGAAGGGATGAGAAGAGGGAATCGGGATACTTACACGACCATTGTAGGTCTTCGCAAAGGCCTGAAGTGCACTTTCGCAGGCCTCAACAATGTCAGATCTTGCTAAGTTGAACCACTTCGTTGCACAGAAAACGAAGAGACAAGCAATAACGATCACAGGCACATCAGCATCTCTTTCTAATGACATAACAATGCATTCCAAAGAATCCATGCGCAAATAGAGAGAGGAAGGAGAGAGGACCGGCACTTCAGTGTGCTTCTCCTGTTTGACCGCCTCTTCATTCCACATCAAGATAAAAAGTGCAAGCGAGGGAGGATCACCATGCTAGCAAATTCCCAATGACTTTCGGTTGCCAACTTCAAATTTAACTTTGCTACTTTAGGAAGACCATCCAAAAGAATCACCTAAAGCAGGGAAGTGCATGGCAGACCCTTCAGAGTCATGACCTGCCAGCATGGGGTTCAGATGCACTTACCTGCTTACAGTGTAATGACCTGCCACCATGCAATCAGTCATCTCTTAGGGGGATCGCTGCCTGCCGACATGGAGAGAGAGAGAGAGAGAGAGAGAGAGAGAGAGAGAGAGAGAGAGAGAGAGAGAGAGAGAGAGAGAGAGAGAGACTAATGGACGGGTGGACAGACCAAACAACCAACAGACAGACCAACACACTGAGACCTACGAGCCGACGGACGGACAAAACAACAAGGATTGATGGACAAACCAACAAGGATCGAGGATGCACCGACGACTGGATGGAGCGGCCGACTGACTGACCAACCGACAGACCGATGGACCAGCCGACCGCTTGGCCGATCGACGAACCGATGGTTCAACCTGCCAACCGACCGACCAAGAGACCGGCTGATGGGTCAACCAACCGACTGACCAACCGCCTGAGAGAGAGAGAGAGAGAGAGAGAGAGAGAGAGAGAGAGAGAGAGAGAGAGAGAGAGAGAGAGAGAGAGAGAGAGAACCTTTCTCACAAGGAACATTCCCACACACTCACACACACACAAACAAAAAATGCAGGTAACAAGATTACTAACCACCTTCTGACCTGATTATACTTGCCAATCCGAATTCCATCCAGAACCCCCCATGCAGGCATTCCAGCTGAATATGATGGACCCAGATCAGGGAGTATAAGCATTCTGTCTGGTTTCGTTCCCTTCACACAATCAATAACAAACAACAACAATGGTTAACCGAACAGCAGATAACAAGCAAAGCAAAAATAGAAGGCAAGCAAAAATAGAAGGTAAGCAAAAAGGTGAACAGCAATCCAAATAGACAGCCTTCTATTACCTACACCATATTCTTAGGCTGTTACCTTTACTGTGTGATTCGTACTGATTACCCTCCCTGTGAATTTCATGCCTTAAGCCTATAGGGAAGGACTCTCTATCTCTGAAGTTCTGAAGACTACACAACAGAGAGACGCTGAGCCAGTTGAAGCCAAGAGTGACTCGGGGCATTCTCACACGAGGACTTTCCCGACTGAATCTTTCCATGATTTCTGATCAGATAAGCAAGGCCATAACAGCAGGCATGAAGAGAGTGTTATGAACTTGGTTGTCTGACGATTTTCACCGCCACTCACACACAGACAGTCTCATACACGCCCATACATGCATAAGAGAAGGAAGAGAGGAGACAGAGTCCACTGTACACAGATCAGAGTATGTAGCGGAAGTTCAGCCATGCACAGATGGGGAGAAGACACTGCGTGATTCTCACTCTCCGACAAACTCCCAACAACCAATCACAAGAAGAAACCTGCGAGGATACCAATTGGCACACTCCACTCTCTATCCTACACCCAGTTAGTAGCGCACAACCAAAACAGCCTCCCAGAGGCCAGCGCCAACCACCCAGATGAAGAACAGATCCTG